GGAGATAAAAAACCTGTATGCAGAAAACTATAAGACACTGATGAAAGAAATTAAAGATGATGCCAAAAGATGGAGAGATATACCATGTTCTTGGATTGGAAGAATCAATACTGTGAAAATGACTATACTACCCAAAGCAATCTACAGATTCAATGCAATCCCTATCAAATTACCAATGGCATTTCTTTACAGAACTAGAACAAAAAATCTTAAAATTTGTATGGAGACAAAAAAGACCCCAAATAGCCAAAGGAGTCCTGAGGGTAAAAAGCGGAGCTGGAGGAATCTGACTCCCTGACTTCAGACTATACTACAAAGCTACAGTAATCAAGACAATATGGTACTGGCACAAAAGCAGAAATATAGATCAATGGAACAAGATAGAAAGCCCAGAGACAAACCCACGCACCTATGGTCAACTAATGTATGACAAAGGCGGCAAGGATATACAATGGAGAAAAGACAGTCTCTTCAAGAAGTTGTGCTGGGAAAACTGGACAGCTACATGTAAAAGAATGAAATTAGAACACTCCCTAACACCACACACAAAAAGAAACTCAAAATGGATTCCAGACCTAAATGTAACACCAGACACTATAAAACTCTTAGAGGAAAATATAGGAAGAACACTCTTTGACATAAATCACAGCAAGATCTTTTTTGATCCACCTCCTAGAGTAATGGAAATAAAAACAAAAATAAACAAATGGGACCTAATGAACTTCAAAGCTTTTGCACAGCAAAGGAAACTATAAACAAGATGAAAAGCCAACCCTCAGAATGGGAGAAAATATTTGCAAATGAATCAACGGACAAAGGATTAATCTCCAAAATATATAAACAGCTCATACAGCTCAATATTAAAAAAACAAACAACCCAATCCAAAAATGGACAGAAGACCTAAATAGGCATTTCTCCGAAGAAGACATACAGATGGCCAAGAAGCACATGAAAAGCTGCTCAACATCACTAATTATTAGAGAAATGCAAATCAAAACTACAATTAGGTATCACCTCACACCAGTTAGAATGGGCATCATCAGAAAATCTACAAACAACAAACGGTGGAGAGAGTGTGGAGAAAAGGGAACCCTCTTGCACCGTTGGTGGGAATGTAAATTGATACAGCCACTATGGAGGTTCCTTAAAAAACTAAAAATAGAATTACCATACGACCTAGCAATCCCACTGCTGGGCATATACCCAGAGAAACCCAACGACAGACGAATGGATAAAGAAGACGTGGTACATTTCTACAATGGAATATTACTCAGCCATAAAAAGGAATGAAATTCGGTCATTTGTTGAGACGTGGATGGATCTAGAGACTGTCATACAGAGTGAAGTAAGTCAGAAAGAGAACAACAAATATCATATATTAATGCATATATGTGGAACCTAAAAAAATGGTACAGATGAACCGGTTTGCAGGGCAGAAAATGAGACACAGATGTAGAGACAAATGTATGGACACCAAGGGGGGGAAACCGTGGAGGTGGTGGGGGTGGGGGTGCAATGAATTGGGCGATTGGGATTGACATGTATACACTGATGTGTATAAAATGGATGACTAATAAGAACCTGCTGTATAAAAAAAAAAGTTCACTAATTCATAGCTTTACCTTATATAATTAAGGTGTTATTTATAAACCACTTTTAACCAACCTGTCAGAACTTACTTTGCTACTGTTCACTGTAGTATCACTGTATATAATTACAGTAGAATGTTATCTATAATTTATACCTTTCATTACCTTGTAATTTGGTCTTTGCTTTTCTTTCACGGAAATAACCAGATCTGTAGCTTCCCCACCCTGCCCCCAAACTCCTATACCCCATAGGTATATGAATGAGCTCACGTTTTGCTCCTGGACTTAGGAAGGTGAAATGCTTCTCCTGCCTCACTCCCACTTTTTCCTGGGCTAACGGGTTTGTACTTAGATGCCATCACTGTTGCACTTTTTGCTGACACTTGGCAGAGCTGAAAGGCATCTTCTGCACACCTCTGTACAGAATGACCAGAGCTCTCTGTATGTCCTGTACCACAACCCTCTCACTCCTACCTGGGCCTTCAGAAGCATGTTGGTGGCAGGTAGGAGTATGTTTCTCAAGCCCACTGGAGCCATCACTCTGCAGCTTTCCAGCAGCCCCTTTCCCACTGTCCAGCCTCCATCCTGGAGCCCATGAGGATGAAGAAGGGATGCGGTGGTGCATTGAGAGCAAGGTATTTAACAGGAAGTAAAAGAGAACATCAACGAATTATCATTTTTTTGTATGTAACTCACAGGTGAATTAATCAGTGGACTTGTGTAGAAGTGGATTATCTATTCTGGTGCAGTAGCAGAAATTAAAATTTCCGACTTGCCTTGTTTTGCCAGTATTAAAGCATTTTGTTCTATTGAATGTGACATGTACAAACTTTTAGTCTCACACATGAAAAGAGAAGGCATAAGGCATGTAATTCACGTGGTTTCTCATCCAATCATTTTAATCACCGATTACTAAATCTAGTTGAAAACACTAGGAAAAAGGATACAGTTGTCCCTCCAACCAAGGGGGATTGTTTCCAGGGCCCCTGTGGATACCAAAATCCAAGGATGCTCAAGTCCCTTATAAAATGTTATAGTCTTTGCATATAACCTACACATATGGTCCCACATACTTTATTCATTTATTTTTTATAAATTTATCTTTGGCGGCATTGGGTCTTCATTACTGCATGCGGGCTTTCCTCTAGTTGTGGTGAGCGGGGGCTACTCTTCTTTGCAGTGCGTGGGCTTCTCATTGCGGTGGCTTCTCTTGTTGTGGAGCACAGGATTTAGGCGCGCGGGGTTCAGTAGTTTTGGAGCACAGTCTCAGTAGTTGTGGCTCGCAGGCTCTAGAACGCAGGCTCAGTAGTTGTGGCGCCCGGGGTTAGCTGCTCCGCGGCATGTGGGATCTTCCCAGACCAGGGTTCGAACCCGTGACCCTGCATTGGCAGGCGTATTCTTAACCACTGTGCCACCAGGGAAGCCCCCCACATACTTTAAATCATCTCTAGATTACTTATAATTGCTAATACAATGTAAATGCTATACAAATGGTGGCAAATTCAAGTTTTGCTTTATGGAACTTCTGGAATTTTTTTTCTAATATTTTCGATCGGTGGAGGCAGAGCCTGTGGGTGTGGAGGGCTGATTGTGCTATTTTCCCTACTATTTGTTCTATTAACCTAGCTTCGCAGTATAGACTATCTTGAACTGGAAAGTCTTCCGTTTATAAAATAACATTTCAGTTGTTGCTGTATCAAAAGATCAGCACACTCACCTGCTAAAAGTAGGAAATAACTGTATGTTCCTCCCTATAGAATGAGTATTTCAGAGGTCTAAGAAGGAAAGAAAATTCTGAAAAAGAATTCAAGAAAAATAGAAAGGAGAATGCTTCAAAGCAATGTGTCCACATCATTTCCCTCCAAGGCTAATTAGCAATGAAATACTTTTTGCCGACTATATGGCACTTCAAACCTTTTCCTAACTAACATTTAAATAGGTGATGACAGCAACTATAGTAAAACTAGAAAGCCTTTCTACAAATGAACGTCAGAATTTACAATTTAGAAGGTAATCTGGAATACTAATTATTATATTCATTACATGGTTTGCTTCAGATCTGCTTGTTACAAAGTCTGGGTTTGAAAAACATGCAACCTCATTTCACGATGCACTGTAACTAGTACTTAGTTATGCTAATAACTCTGAATTATGTAAAATAATAGATAACCCAAACATCGTCTCAAACATGTTTCAGAGATATTTTTGGTTATTTGGATCTCGGTATCCTTGATCTGAAAATTCACTCAATCTCAAGTAAAATAACAAAGCCGCAACCGAAAAATCTGAAGATGTGAACGTCAAGAAATTCCCTACTTTTAATAGGCGATGCAGCGCATTCTTGCTCTCTCCCTTCCCTTAAATCAGCAGGTGTCTCCGCAGCTCCAGCAGACTGATAAAAGCAAAAGGAGGGGCGGAAAGGAAAGGAAATGTCTATGTGGCTTCATCGTGGGGGTGGGGAAGGAGGCGGGGCTGGGGGTGGTTTAGTATCATGATTAAAAGCTTTCCTCCTCGGTTTTAAAGTTCGTTCCCATATTAATGATGACATTAATGCGGCAGAGCTTGGGTCTGTCCATCTGTAACTTATAAAAGGAAGGGATCGGAGGCAGCAAAGGGATGCAGGGAGAGAGCGAGATGTAGGCGCGTGGGGACGGGAAGGGAGAGGCGGATTTGGCAGTCCAAGTGGGGACGAGAGGAACAGGAATGGAAAGTGTGGCCTGGCCGTCCCACCCTGCGGTGCGGAAGGTGGGGCCCACGACGTCTCACTTCCCTTCCCCCCATCCTAGGCTTTTCCTTTGTAGGTAGGGGATCTCTGGGCATCTAGAAAGGGTCGGTCGACTAAAAAAGGATGCGCAGGCTCGAGACCTCTCTCCTGGGGCAAGCGGACGTGTGGGCGGGCAGGGGTGGCAGGGACAAGCATTGGCCCCAAAGCGACGGCTTTGCGGGCGCTGGGGAGGAAAAGGCCACCAGCCTAGATCCCGCGGGTCCACGCGCCCCAAGTCAGGGCCGTCCGCGCAGAGGAGGCTGCCGCGCTCGCCCCGCCCCACAGGCGCCACTCGGGAACGCTCTATCCCTGCGCGACCCTTTGCAGGCCTCGCCTTGTCCCCCCAAGTCCCGAGCCTCTAGTCCGAACCCCCTCCTTGCCATCTGGGGCGACAGTCCTCAAACAACATGGCGGCGCGGCGGCGGCGGCGCCGCCTCGTCTCCCGGCCTCAGGGGTTAGTAAGGGCGGCCGCGGCCAGCGTCCAGGACGCGCGACCCGCGAGCCCAGCAGGGGGCGGGGCGGGGGCGATTGAGGAGAGCAGCAGGCGGGAGCGGCTGGCGGGTGGAGCGAGCGGGGGCGGGGGCGGGGCATCCGGGCGCGCGCGGTGCGGGTGTGCGGCGGATGCGCGGGCGCGGGCGCGGGCGCGGGCGCGGGCGGGGGCGGAGCGGCGGCTGAGGTTGGACGCGACGGCGCAGAGCCCTCTCGCGGCCGCGGCGGCAGCAGCGCCAGCCCCAGCAGCAGCCCGGCCGCCGCTGCCGCCGCCGCCTAGCGCTCCCGCTGCTCAGCTTGACATGAGTGAGGTGGATCGGGTGCCCTCGCCCGCCGCGCCGCCGGCTGTGGCGGCGACTGCGCCCGAGGAGAAGAAAGGGAAGGAACCGGAGCGCGAGAAGCTGCCGCCCATCGTGTCGGCTGGCGCCGGTGCGACTGCGGTAGGTGCCGGGCGGAGGCCGCGGGGCGCCCCGACGGCAGGTCGGGACGGGGGGAGAGGGGTGCCCGGGGACCCGCGTATCCTCCGGGGAGCCCCGGACCCGCCCGGGGAGAAGCGCTCAGGCTCCCCTTTCTCGGGCCGAAATCAAAGAGTTGTGCCTCGTGGGCAGCCGTGATCACTTCGCGATCTGCACCTTCCACCCTCGGGAAATGTCGGGGTGGCCGGATACGCTGGCTGTTTTCGGTTATTTTCTGGCTGGGGGGGTTCCCACTTTCTCTAAGGAAATGACCAGCATCTTGGAGTCGGCATCATCTGTTGGATAAGGATAAGGTGTCAGGCAGGCGGGAGTGGGTTTTCCGCTGAGCTATCTGCCTGTCTTGGGAGAGCGAATATTTTCCCCTTTTCCACGCTTTTCTTTCCGTTCCCCCTTCAGATTGAACAGTCTGCGGCGAGTTTCCACCTAGTTGTGACCTTTCCGTTACTGTCAGCCTCGATGGTGGTTTTATTTTTCATATGATACAGGCGTGTGACGTAAGGTGGGGAAGCTTTTTTAACCTTTTATTTAAACTCAAGTGATCTAAGCTTCACGGGGATGATTTCCCAGATGGATTTTTTTAAGGATTATTTGGAGAGCGCTCTCAGGCTTCAAACTACATATTGCCAGATGATGTAATGGGACAGCCCCTCTTCCCCGTTTCTACTGGTGGTTTTGACTGTTTACTTTGGAGCACACACACAAAATTAACCTCTGATTTTTGAGATTTTTATTTGACATCATATTTAAATACTTCTTGAAACTTTAGTACATTTAAAGCTCATGACTTGTCATGCAGCCTTGCGTGATAAAATGGTAAAAGTTTAGAGACCATGGTACATTTTGTTTATTCCTGCTTGCAATTCATTTCTTAAAACCTCCCTCTTAAATGACTAAGAACTTACTAAAATAGCTCACTCTAATTTAAAGTATTATAGGAATAATGTTTTGATTTGGTAGGTTTTTCGAAAATGTCTAAGGACTGTGAACTGGAAATTGTTAGAACAAGCTCTTTACGTTAAATGAGCACAGCAGAGTGTAGACAGTGATAAAATGACACTTTAAAAAATTAGTACAGTTGATTGATAAGTTGGAGTTGCGGGTAGAAATTACCTTGGGAAATGCTTTGAAGGAATTTGTCACCCACCTGCTTGTAGACCCAGTTCTTGCTGTTGGTTTCCTGGGCTTTCAGAGCTTATCTGGGAAGTTCTTAACTGGCAAATAGGCAGTGTTTCAACAGTTCATTTCTAAGTCAGTTTAAAACAGTGAATGCATACATGCTTATAGGAACAGTTATGTGAATGAATTTAGGTCCTCAAGTAAGCACGCTCCCCCAAACTTATTTATTTCTGTGTAATTGAAAAACTGAAGGCTTGAAATAAAAACTTGGAGAAATTGATACAGTGTGGATACAGGTCTACAGACTGTTATCTGAAACCTTGGGGCTTTGAAATTCAGAGTTCTTCGGATTTTAGAAAGGTAATTCAGTACATATATTATGTATAATATCCACCGTGGGGTCCTGGCCATTTCCCCATAATCAAGCATATTAACAGCTCTGCAGTGAAATGTATGTGTTGTTCACACCAAATGAGGTAAGGTCTATAAGTAGCTTCCTGTCAGTTCAGCTCAGGTTGGATTGTCGGAGAGTTCAGATCAGGTACATGTTTTATCACCAAATAAGCTCTTTCAGTTTTAAGAGCTTAGAGGATTTTGGAAGTGTAATAAAGGAATATGGACTTGTACTACTAGACAAACAGAAGAATAGAGTGCAAGAAGTTTTTTAAGATCTTGAATAAAACCTTGAAAAGACAGGTTAAATCAGAAGAGGATACGAATGAATAGCAACACTTGAGATTTCTGAAGGCAGTTTCTGGTGCCTTACAAGCAGGGTTGGTAGCATTGTTTTTTTGTTTTTTTAAGTGACAGAGGTTTATCATTAGCACTGATGTTCTGAGTCACATCAGGAGAGAAAAGGACTTAGGTTTTGCAGCAAGAGTTAGGAGAGCAAGGGAGAGATGAGCAACTTATCGATGATGATATGTGGTATGTATTTGTCAGAGATTTCTAGAGCTGGAATTCTGAGCTATAGCAATGTAAAGCCTTAGTCAAGAAAATCTGTGCTTGGTCCTCCAGAGGGCGAGAAAAGCAGGGAGCTGGCACAATGTCCGAATTCATCTGTAGGTGGAGAATGCCTTGGTGTGGGAGGCAGGGAAAGACAGCTTGTGGCCTGCTTGGTTGTTTTCCAGCCTCCATGTGGATCAAATAGAGCTTCTGGAGGTTTGCTTAGGAACCTGATTGCCATCAATAACTTATCTCTTTGAACCATTTTAGTGATTCTTCCTTTTTGCCCCAGGTTAACAGCTCTTTCTATGTAGTTTGAGTTTATGACTCAATTACTGTAGCCCTACAGTACTAGCTTTTTCCAATAATCATTGTATCACATTTCTGTGAGAGTTTGGAAATAGTTTAGAGTGACGGTTCCCTGAAATAAGTAGAAGGTCAGGTTATGATGACCCCAATTAAGCTTAAAGAGTTGGGATTGTATCCCAAAATTTTTTAAAAAGGTGCAGGGGTGGGATTGAGGGTGCAGGAAAGAACAGTCCTAACATGATTGATCCTAAGACTGCCTAAGTGTGCAGGAAGTCCATTCTAGCCAGCAAGTGCCTAACACGGTGGTCTCAAACCTGGCCATCATTGCCCAGGCCCGAATGCAGGCCAGTTAAATCAATTTCTGGGAGTGGGGCTCAGGCATCTTCTTTTTTTAAATTCTCAGGTGTAGCTAAAATTGAAAATTGACACTCTGTGTAGTGAATTAAAAGCTCCTTGGAGTCTGTATTTTAAGTACACTGCCCCAAGTCTGCTTAGTTAATGGAGCAGCATTTGAAATGGAGTAGGGAAAGGTATGGGTTAAGTGAATGAGGCACAGCAGAAATAAGATTTAGTGGGGAATTGAGAGAAATGGCAGTAAAGGTGGTTCTAGTTAGAGATGCTCACAGGTCCAAGATAGAGCCCTCAGAGGCCTCTCAGTGTTCAGGGCTGGCCTTGCTGCTGTGGAGAGGTGATGTAGGCCTACAGAGCTAAGGGGAATAAGGAATATGAAGGGCTAACGATGTGAATATTTACTGAAGTTGACAGATTAGAGTGGAGAAGAATATTATAAAGTAGTTGCTGCTGTAATACAGAAGTTAGAAAAAAATTGGTGAATGGGGAAGAGGAAAAGGGTGAAAGGAGGAGCAGATAATAGTGATGAGTGAGGATGAGTTTGTCTATTTCATCATTTAAGTCAGGTGAGAAGAGAAAGGGAGATTCTCCATGGCATAGGGTTCAAGAAAGAGCTAGACTTGACTTAGGTCAGAGAGGTGAAAGGAAACGGAGGAAATCATTTTAGGATGGTAAAGGGAAGTTTGCCCACAATGAAGGTCAGGAGACTTGTCAAGCAGGGGGAAGGTGAGAGCAAAGCTTAAGGTATGTGGAGAGGATTTGGTAGGAAGTCGGTAACAAGAGTGAGAAGTTTGTACGTGTTGTGTCAGGAGTGTTTAAAGGGGCTTGATGGAACCTCTGGGCCAAAATGTAACTACCAATTATTGAACATCTATTATGTTGAGCTTTGGGCTAGATGCTACAGAAAACACAAAGTTTAAAAAAAAAAAAAGATTCCTGCCTCAGGGTAGGCAGGGCTGACACATGAAAACACAGCAAAGCAAAGCAATGTGTAAAAGCCACCATGTGCCATAGAAACAATTTGCTCTGTAGGAGATCAGAGAAAGGATATCAGTGGGTGCAGAACTGTAAAGAAAGGGCTTAAAGTAAAGGTAATTATTTAGGCTGGCTGGCCATTGAAGGATGATAGGATTTGGATGGGCAAAAGCAAGTGGGAAAAGTAATCCAGTGGGGAAAACAATGTGAACGAGGCTTAAAGGGAAGAATTAGGGAGTAATAAAGTAAGCCCAATGGGAGCATGCTGGCAACTTGTGGGAGGTAAGTGAGATTGCATGGGGGCTGGACCAAATCAGCAGGTGGGGAAGTTGGGACTTTTTTTTTCCTGTTCTTAGCAGGAAACCATTGGAGTTTCTTAAATAGAGGAACAACATAATGAAATTAGTGGTAGTAATTAGAGGTAGTTAGACTGGAGGAGGAAGGAGAAAGAGGGCAAGGAAGGAGCTCTGCAGTTCATACTGGAGATCATGGGGCATCCGCTAGAGTTGTGGCCATGTGATAAGGTATAAGGGATGGAAGAATCCACACGAAGTGGAATCTAGTGGAACCTAGATAACAGGGATGAAAGAGAAGGAAGATTAATAAAGAAAAAGGATTCTAAAGTTTGCGGATGAGTTCTCTCAGAGAAAAACATTTACGTAAAAAGGCAATCCAGCCAACAGCATTCCAAATAAACGTGTATGTGTGAACTTCGATAAAACTTGCCCATCTAGGTGTTTGGAACAAACTTATTTTTGGAAAATTTTGTACCCTTTTCAAACGAGATGAGATGGGAAAGAATGAAGGCTATGGTGGTAAAAGTGTCTTAAGCAATTTAATAAACCACAGATATTACAAAAATGCATCATTTATGCATATGTGTAATACATATAAATAATACAAGTGATTGCCACCGTTTACTTCAGTACCTACTCTGTGGCAGGCATTTTCCATGTATCTTTCATCTAGTCAGTTAGTGCAACCAAAGCCAATCACCTAACTGCTATGACCATGAGGAAGATACTGTTCCCACTTAACAGGAATCTGAGAGTCAGGTTATGTGTAGTATACCTTGCCAGAGGGTAAAATGGCTAGTAAGGGGCAGAGCTCGGTTTCAATTGAGACTTTTCTGGCTCAAAAAAATGCCATGCTCTTTGCCTTATTCTATGTACCCTGTATCTGTGGTCAGAAACCATGGGGTTCAAAGAACCCGTACCTATAGCAGTATTTCCTAGTTTAGAAGAAAGGATGTGGCCCAGGGACAAATT